AAATGGTGTTTCTGAAAATACTTTCTTCAAGTGAAGCCCTTATGTTTAGCACCAGTATGTATGGCTCTGTTCAGTAATCCCTTTCTGATATGAGATTCATTCTCTGTCTCTCTCACACACACGTGAAGTATTGTTGGCTTTTAAGAATTTCTCTTATATACACTTATGAAATATTGAAGACGAATCAGACCATTAATGACACTTAGTACAACTTTTGTAATTAAAATAATACTATAAGTCTAAAATTGGTGTCATCACTAAAATTATTAATTTCAATATGTTCATATTTTTATTACAATGAAAAACCCTGTTCTACAACTAGAGACTCACAATATGGTGTAAACCATGAAAGATCTTAAATGTTATTATTTTGACTGTTTTAAATCTCAGAATCACATTTTGTTCTAATCAGAATTTTTTTACCAGGATGTCAAGGCTTTGTCTTTTTTGAAACTAGTTTGTCATAACATTGTGCCTAACCACAGTATTTATTTTGTAGGATTGTTATGAATCTGTAGACTTATGTTTACACTAAATAATAATGTTTTTAAATTTTTAATTATTTAATAATTACATAATTAGAAGAAGCATTTCATTTATTTAATAACCACATACTTAGAAGAAGCATTTCATTACAACAGCATTGACATATTCAATAACAATGTTCTGAGCTAAGATGCATCTTTTTCAAAATTGGCTGTAAATTTTTAGGTTTACAGTTGAATTGTTACAGTTATATAATATTGTACTCAGTATAAACCCTATAGGACATAAAATTAAATGAGGTTTTAACCTTTAAAAAAGATCTCCATTTCATTATTAAAATACACTGTTTCGTACAGAAAAACTCATTTTTAATGTAACTAACACTTAGATGTTTGTACATGCATCTCTAATCTCTATATATCTGATTATTATTAGTCACACTTGGTTACTTTCTGAGATCCTTGGCACCTGAGCATGGATATAAAGTCATCAGGTAGATTTCAATGGTAATGTTTTTCACATCTACTAATTAACACGAAGCATATTTTTATGCTTTTTCCTCAAATATAACTCATATTTTTATTTACTGATTTGTGTGTGTGTGTGCATTTCATACAGAACATCCCAAACAATCTTATTCATCTATATACCCACATCCCAAGTGACACCCTCCCATGCTGCCCCACCTCCACTGGAGCCCATATACTCATATATGAGTATATAGCCCATATATGTCATCCCTGTTACTGTTCACTGTGTTTCCCAGTGCTTGTCCATCCACTGAGTCTAGTCAGCCTATCTATAGTTCCTTGAGAAACAATTATTTTTTAAAAAATAATAATTTATTTGGTATCAACTTAACTTATAAGTAAGTGATCATGTTAGCTAAAACTGTTAAATTACAGCATGGTTCCTATTGCTAAGAATATAAGTTAAATTTAAATGATGGTTGCTTCTACACCAGCATGCAACTTATCTATGCACGTGTTACTCTCGGTGTTAACCTGTGATATTAAGTCTCTCTCTGTTCTGACTTACATCCACTCTTCCTACATTATCTGAATAGCCCTTTATACACCTAAACCTATTAAAGTAATTTTAATTTTTCTAAGGTCAAACCTCAGTCAAGCCTTAATAATTCTTATAAAGGCTAACCTGAGAAGCAAAATATATGTCTAGTTAAGGTTTATTAAAAACTGTTTGGGTTTTTGTTCAAGCTTTATCTACATATTGCACAGTAATCAAAAGTACCTGACAGGTGAACTGACCTCCTTGGATGTTTAATAATCAGACTTAAAGGCCTATAATAATCTGACCAAGGGAAAATCTTTGGTCCTTGCCCTCCAAGGTTGACTATGTCCCAGAAGACAATGGAGAAACTCTCAAAATGTACTGTTAACTGTGGTGAGTCACCTGTCCTCTTGTTCAGGGAGGCCATGGAGGCCCCACAAATAGACTTGAACCAGTGTCCAGTCTACAACGAGGAAAGTTAACGCAGAGGAAATGTTTCCTCATAGCTTTCAAGTGAAACCATAGCCCAGCAAAGGTTCTGATCTATCCTCACATAAATGGCAATGGTAAAAGAAAGGCCTAAGGAGCCAGAGGCTCCTCCTAAGGACATGTGACCTCTGAGGACCAGATCCTCAGCTGACCTTAAGAGTAAATACATGTTGGTTTATTTGGGCCAACTGTATGGTCTTAAACATCCTAAAGGAAAGTCTAAACACAAATTAAAATAATCAGTATATTTCTTTTAGAATCTGAGAAATTATACTTCCCAGAATTTAGGCTTAAAAGTTCATATGAGATATTATTTAAAAGATTCTCACTAAAATTTTCTCCTTGAAAAAAATACTACTCAGATATATAAGACTTCAGATCTTGGCCTACTACAACACCTCAGTGCCTACCTGCAACCAAAAAGACAAACCTGTTATTATTCTTATCTAGAAATTAAATGACGGCTAAATTTATTCTCTCTCCCTGTCTAGAAGCCATATCGAAGAGAATTCACACCGATTCTAGCTGCTCCAACAGCATCAAAATGCCTGAAAAGCAGCTCCTAAGTCCACCTGTGGCAGCCAAAAGAAAAAGGAGCAACCCAGTACGTGGATGCTCTTGGAAACCTTCACAAAGAAACTCTAATGGACTTTGATTCTGACTTCTGGTTTCCTGCCTAGAACTTGTGCCTCACTACTCTTGCCTTTACTTCACATCTCCTCCCAGGCACCAGTCAAGGACTGTCTTTTCTCTCTATAGCTAACAGTTACACACTTTGGGGGCCTTTTAGAGAGACTCACTGCAGGGGTATCCCAGTTGCCACACTCTGCGCCCTTATTCAGCATAGAAGTAGCCAGAACAATCCACTGGTATTCAAATTCCCTATTGACAATTAGCGTCACGTCTTCAGAGGGAGGAGTAATGAGAACAGGAGGTAGAAATTGGCTAGGTTGTTTAGGGTGAAGACCCCAGAAGAACAATGACCAGTTTCTTTCTGGCTGAGAGCTGGAAATTCCCTTGGATTGGAGTAAGCTTGTCCCTACCTGAGGCTAGGGATTTCACTATCTAATCCAAAAAAGTCTCTAGTTCTGCTATAGCTAGAGGCTGGGATGGGGTGGGGGGTGGACGGCGGCAATAAAGGATTCTGTTTTTTTTTTTTTTGTTTTTCCCATACCTCTCTCTTTTTCCTGAAATAATACCCTATTCCTGGAAGACTTCAATAGACTTGGACACGTGGAACGAAGACTGGACTGACCAGTTCATCTCCCTTGCCTGTCTTCTGTCTATTAAATCCTTATTGATTCCTGAGAAATGAGATCATTGTACTATGCTTGATTCACTGTTGTCTCCAAAGATTCTACAGACTCTCTTGACTGAGCAGCCATATGACTGCCCAAGACATTACCTGGGACCAAATTAAGGCTATGTTCCTACTCCGTGCCACCTGAGGACTCCTTCCTAGCTAAAAGAAAAAGGATGCCCCCATTCCATTCTTTTCTTGTCTTCAGGGTCTGAAATGATAGAGAACCAAAAGTCCTCTGAAATGACTGCAGACCGTAGCTGACTCGGAGACTGCTACTAGCCCTATATAAATCATTCCAGGATTGATCACTCTCAGATCTCAGGAGGAACTGTTGGAGATAGGCTGTAGCTCAAGATAGCCTCTCCTGCTTGAGCAAAGGACTCAGGAAGATGAGACACGTAGACCCTTGCAGTTGCATCTACTTCCTCATGCCCTAGCCTCTATATGATCTTTAACGCTCCAGATTCACAGTACAGTTGCCTCCAGCATGCGGGAAGGTGGCTGTCCCTTACCCCACCCTTTGGATAAAACACAGTCTGGTCTGAGGTCTGGTATGGTCTCTTTCTTTCTCTCTCTCTCCAAATCCTGTACCCTGCATCCTGCTTGCCATGGGCTGAGGTCCTGTCATGGCCATCATGGCCAGTGCCTCCTGATCCTATCAGTCACATTTCACAGGTGGCCTGGTGTACTTCCAACAGGAAGCTCAGATACAGTCAGGCTATGGATTGTTTGGACATTTTTATTCTCCTATGTTTTTTCCATTCTCCTCCTCATCTTCCTTACAACCATTACAAACATTACCCTCATCATTTTCATTTCTTTACTGCAGATCTTATTGGGCTTTAAAATTAAGCCAGGTGGAGATAACTAATACCATACTCTTGAGTAATTTTCATTAATGGACACTTAATCACAAAGGAAATATTATAATGAGTATAGTTTATGATCATAATATCTTATTGTATAATAAGGAAAACTTTTCTTCATGATTGAAAGAATAGCAATCATGGGGCTGAAGAGATGGCTCAGTGATTAAGAGCACTGGTTGCAGAGGACCAAGGTACAATATCCAGCACCAACATGGTGGCTAAAAACAGCCCTTAACTCCAGTTCCAGGGGAATCTGAAACTCTCTTCTGACCTCTGAGGCCATTGCACAACATGGGTACACTTACATACGTGCAGGCAATACACTCATACTCATAAAATAAAAGGAGTAAATAAAAAAGAGCAATAATTACATTTTATTTATATAGAAGCTTGCTTATATTTATCCAACTATTCAAATGCCAAGTTGTTATCATTAAATATGGTTGGCTAATTCAAAGTCCTCATTCTTTGCAATTAGACATATGTATTATCTATCTGTAGTCTATATTTATCTATTTAAGAATATTTCATCAAACATAAAATTTGAACAAGGCCAGTGTACCAGGTATGTTGGTGCATTCCTGTAATTCCAGAACTCAGTAGGCTGGGGCAGAAGCCAGCCTAGGCTACATAGCAAGACCCCTTCTCAACAAACCAAAATGAATGAATAAATAGATCAATACACAAAATACACACACACACACACACACACACACACACAGAGCCAAGTTTCCTGTGTGGGCAGTGGTTTTTACAACTGTACTCTGAATCATCAGCTCTGGTCCAGGCCACCTTGAGGATATTTAGAATGTCACCCCTGGATAAAAGTCCTTGGAACTTACCTGTTGTCACGCCGTGAACCACGCCTTCCTTAGTTTTAGATCCTATAAAAACAAAAAAATTGAATATATCAGTCTTAAAATGTCCTTAGAGTTCTAGTCAGCCAATTAACAAATCTCAATTTTCAGAACTTCATTTAAATAAAAACCAAACACACAAAACCCACTAAACCACTGGGCCTAGTGGCCCACACCTTTAATCCCAGCACTCAGAAGGCAGAGACAGGCATATCTCTGTGGACCAGCCTGGTCTACATAAAGACTTCCAAGCCAGCTAAGGCTACAGGGAGACCTTGTCTCAAAAACTAAACAAACAAAAAACCACTAAACTGGGGAAATTCAGCTATGACTACAACAGAAGAAACAAAGCATCTCCAGTTAAGAATTTAATGCTGATTAATAGATAATGAGCCGAGTTAGCAGATGGTTAGAAGCTCTTATGCTGTGCAGTCAGTGAGTGGGTCACAGATAGAGATTGGACTGTGTAGCTCAAAATTCTACAAAAGAGGGGGTTGGAGAGATGGCTCAGAGTTTAAGGGCACTGCCTGCTCTTGCAGAAAACCCAAGTTTGGTTCCCAGCACCCATATGGCACTAACAACTGTCTGTAACTCCAGTTCCAGGGGATCCGATACCTTTTTCTGACCTCCGTGGGCACTGCACAGCACAAGTGCACTTACACACATGCATGTAATACATTCATATACATAAAATGAAAATAATACATCAAAATAAAAATAGTTACTCCCTAGAAACCATGAAAAATTTAAAGTGTTTAAGGAGACAGAGATGTTTAACCTGACTACACACTGTAAATACGTATGGCAACTTCCACTGATAGGTACAAGTTTTGTATCTTTATACAGCAGATAAAAATACAATACAATTTTCTAAAAGGAAAGAAAGATTTTAGAAAAAGAAAAGATAGAAAAAAAGGCTTTATACCTAACTCTTAACACTTCACATACCAACTCCTAGAGGGGAAACAGGTGAGATAGCACAAGGCTCAGTGAGATCTTGGAGCCAGAGCTGTAGAAGCTTTGAAAATGCAGCACAGTGCAGCCTGGTGAACCACAGAACATGAGCAGGAGGAGGGACGACTTGTCACTGCCCTCCCAACCTGTATGAGCTCATCTCATTGCATCTCTCAACACCTCCATTTGATGTGCATTAGGACCATTTCATACAGGGGGAAATTAAAAAGCACAATTGACTTGTCTAATACTACATTCAAACTAGGTCTGTGTGCAAGAACATTCCCCCCACCATTGCTTGATTAGTACTAAACAAGTAAACAAATAATTACTATATATATTATTAAAAACAAGTTTGTAGCTCTCCTAGCCTGCACTCCAATCCTCAGGCCTCTTGGGGTAAGTCTATAGCGCAGCTCTCCGCGCCTTGACTCCCCAAGCCACATTCACCCTTCCATCTCCCCCACTGTTCGCTACACCTAGTGTGGGACCTGCACCACTCCTAGTCTTGGGGCCCGAGACACCTGGGGAACCAATACTGCTTTCTGATCCTTCTCACCCAGACCAACTTAGTGCTTTTCTTGGACCCCAGGAGCATCGCTTCTGGTCCTGGCCCCACCCTCACCTCGCTCTGCATCCCTGGACCTGCACCACCGGCTAACTCTCCTAGCCTGCACCCCTATCCTCAGGCCTCTTGGGGTAAGTCTATAG